CTGCTCATATCAACTCTTAAAAAGGAGTAAAGAGCAAGCGTGCAACTGCTTTCTGAACTCCTGCTCCCTTCTCCCCACAAGCATGTTAGTCATCCCATCTAAGAGAGATGGGTAGGTTCTCATTTAACTATGGTAACAGTGATGTCAAAAAATTAAATCTCCAGAGCATTTTCCCTCCAGTTACATGTGCTTCTATAAAAGGTGAATTCTGCCTTGCTGTCTCTTCCTCAAAGAGAACTGAAGTGAGGTCCCCCAGCAGGAACTGCTCCATGCCGCGGGGCTAACGCTGGTCACTTTGGACATCAGGTTCTCTTCCACAGGCCTCCCTTTCTCTGAAGCCCATTGGTTCACATAACACCTAAGCCTGGTAGCCCAAAATGTTTTCCTGGAAAGAATCAGAATAAGCTAAAAAGGCTATTAACACCCTCAGCTAGTGGGCTTACTGTCAGGTTCTACAAGTAATAGTTGTATGCGAGAGTCTTTCAGTCTTTCTCCTGAAGATTTTGAATGTTTTCTGTTTCTAAAGATCTCTCAGTCTCATGCCTTAGGGTACCTCTACTGCACAGCCAAGCTCTGCTCTCAGTGCTGGGAGCAAAACATGCATGCCACGCTCCTGGAAGCGCATCAGCACAGCTGACCACCTGATGAAGGAGGTTTTCAGTAAGCAGATAATCTATTGCTGTAGGAGTTAGAGAGTCACAGAAACACTCCAAAACTGAGGGAAAAAAAACTGTAAAGTTTCAAAAGGCAGGATGGATGCACAGGACGGTTACTGATGAACCTCAGTGATGACAGAGTAAAAACCCACCCGAAGCTCAGTAAAAGATTTTTTTTGAAAAGCATTTTCAAGGCACACGATCATCCATGTCACAGCACACAGAACAGTCACAGAACCAACATCCAGAAAGTCATGCTCCCTAGATGCTCCCAGGGAGACCTGGATTTCTGTGATTTGGGATACGTGCTTCCAGAACGGTCATCTGTTTCGACATACCACGAGCTGTACCCTTAGCAACATTGGGCTGCATACTGAAAGCAAGCGCACGCAGGCTTCAGGCTTTCTTAGTCTGAGAAAACAAACCCTGTCAATGCTAATTTTGATCATGAAACTCCCTGTGCTCTGATTCCAAGAGGAAGTCGCTTTGTTTGCGACAACTCAGAGAGGGGAAGAACATCGCAGGGCTTTAAGGCATCAAGGCTCACTGCTCCCGTGTGATACGCGCCGGCGGGCAAAGCGCAGGCTCAGCAGCAGCGCTTCCAGGGGCCATCGCAAGGAGGCTGCCAGTGTCAGACTTTACCAGCATCTCCCATGAAATTCCCAAAACGCAAACGTGCTTAATTGCTATCTGCTTGTGCCATCTTGGCCTCAAGAGTACTAGCAAAAATGCCATCAGTGAAGGGGTGTGACAAATCACACCATGGCAGTAAGCCAACATCAAACCCATGAACTTCCTTAATTTTCCTTTTTCAACTAGAAAATTGGGCCAGAATGAGGAACTTGTTGCTTGTGCAGGGCTGAATAGGCATTTCAGACATCTTGCGCACACCGTACATTAATCATCGTGCTACGGGCAACAAACAGTAACGCAAACAAACAAACAAACCGTAAAGATAGCCATCAACCATATGAAGCAAATTAATGGGCAGTGGCTGGCCTCCAGGCCCCAAATTTCACACCAGATCTATGCAGAAGCTAATCTGGAAATTCAAACGCCTGTTGCTTAGAAAAGGGTTAATTTATAGGTTCTTCGTCCTTGTCACTATAAAGTAATAGACAAGAAAAGGAGCTGCAAGGAACCACTGGATGAGGTTCCATCAAGAAAGTCATGAACAGAGTATATATAAATGCACACAAAACTACAAATTGGTACACGTGGTGCCTCACGTTATCTGCCTGTTGTAGCATGTTTTTCTTGTCTGTGTACTACAGCCTTCGAACACCACGCCAGTGTGATTACAGCCTCTCACGAGGACCAGGGCCCCTTCGTGAGGTCAGTATTCTCTGGGAAGCAAACACCCACCCACAAAGAGCGAACAGGGGAAAACGCATTCGCGCCCCAAACTCAAAAGACAATTCTGTTACTTACCCAGAGCCTAGGACGTCCACAGAGAATTGCTAAATATTCCCAGGGCAGAAACCCAGCAAGATCAACATAATGTCCGTGATATTACGAAAAGGAAAAGGGAGTCCCAAAGAGTAAGTACGTTATGAGGATTAAAATCTAGTAATAAAAGTTTAATTTTGGACTGAATTGATTTATGCCCATATAAACCAGCAAAGTTGGCCCATAGCCATATAAATGCCTAACTGCTTATCCAAACGGACAAATTGAGGACTCTGGCAATAATGTTTCAAAATCTCTTTGCCCCGTGCAATAAAGGTCACATCTAGCACACTGGACTTCAAACACGGAAAGCATGACAGGAAATGACTAACTGCACACTCAGGCCAATTCACCTTCATCTTAGATCTGCTCAGCACACCAGGATCATGCAATTCAAGTAGACATCACAGCCTCCATGCAGAAAAAATAATCAGACTGCTCTAGTTGCTAGGTGTTGGGGTCTGCACATCTCTGTACAGAAATCACTGCAAAAAGTAGGAATTCTGCTGTTTCCCTAAACTTCTCTTACAATTCAAGCCATATGCTGTAGTTTTTACTATTCCTTCCCCCTCAGAAGCAGTTTTTTTTCTTTTTAAATGGAGGATGAAGACATTTTATTTCTGAGGTTATATATTATTTAAGCTAGCGTTTACAAAGCCTTTTGTAGTCCCTGGATAAAAGGTACTTACAACATTACACCTCTGTTTTGCACACAAAGGCATTCAAGGGGCTACTTCAAGCTTGCTGCTTAACAAGCGTGCACTTGGATTTGTGGACTGGCTGCACGGGAAGGATGCAGCTGCGGTGCACGTGCTTTGTGCTCACATGCTGAAAAGCGAACTTGCTTGGTCTGAACCCAGTCCCTTATTAACTGTCTTCTCCAGAAAGCCTGGCAGCTCTTCTGTTGATTAAAGGTCTGCTCAACTTCAGTTTTTATAAACAAAGCAGCTTTTACTTACAGGAGCAAGCAAAGACATATAAAACAGACATTTCATTTAATGCACAGCTATTACTTAAAGAGCAAAGAGATTGTTTTTTTCCCCTTAATTTGGTCAAAATATTCCCTTTTTGAGCTGATTCTTTGTTTCCCAGTCTCAAGCATTTGTAGTTGGATTCTTGCATACAACCAGATATACCAACTGCAAAGATAACCTAGAGTTATGGCCCTGGCACTTTTGTGCCTTTCCAGGCTGTTCTCCTGGCACGCAAAACCAGCGGAGCGAAGCAAGTGCTGGGTGCAAGGTGGCGGGGAGACACAGAAATGTCACTTGTGTGCCACACGTTCTTTCCAGCAGCCCGTCTCTCCTGTTGTCTAATCAGGAACTGTGGGCACCTGTGTGCTGGCCTCCTATGAGGAGCAAGCACAGTCTCTGTCTAAAGGACCTTTTACAGCCGTTAGTGTCCCTTGCAAGGAAAGGCAATTACAACTCTGTAACCCCCAGCATATCAGCACCTTCTAAATCTGGGGAAGGATTGAATCCTGGCAAAGACTGGCTGTCTCAGGTTACCATCCCCAGAACTGCTTGCTTGTGGTCTGAAACAAAACTAAGATCATCTGTTGCCTGGGAGATGCTGCATGTGCCAGCTGCAGCCGTCCTGGAAAAAGGTAACTCTACAAGGGCAGCAGAGCTGAGCCTGGAGAGTGCAAGGAACTGCCCAATGGAGACCGGCAGGGGATCCTGGAAAGCAAGAGGACACTCTCGTCTTTTAACCACTGCCTTGCCAACACAAAAATGAAACAAGTTTCCACCTCGTGCAGCTGATGCTTTCTTGGCTTGATGAGCTGGTCCCCAGGTGTCGTTTACTTCTGCCATACACAGTTAGTTATCTGCAAGTCAGTCTCCTTGTTAGAGCATTTCTCACTGACACCCTTTTAAATTACTCTTAAATATTGCACATTCTAAATAAGAGAAGCCGTCAGTTATAATCGTCACTTTTTTTTTTACGTAAAAGCTCTAAGAAGTAAGTCCTCGTGAGGACTAAAAAGAGATTTGCAAGAAGCGACATGCTTTCCGATTTCTGCCACGCTCTGCTGCAATGCTGAAAACTGTCGCCACATCCATGAAACTAAGTGGAAACAGCTATTACAAACGGGCACAAACGCTCACAAAGTTAAACGCGAACGCCTTCGCGCGACCCAGCTAAACATCAAGTTTCCAATACGTCTGCCCCTGCAGAAGCAGCGCCGCTGCTCGCCACGCCGACGGCATCGAGCCTGGGACCGCAGCACCCAGCAGCGCTGCTGGCCCGCGGCACGGGGAAGCGCCTGCGCTGACCGTGCCTAAGAACTTGAGAAGAGATGAAAACAGCTGCTGCACAGAAAGCAGACGCCCTGCACGAACAGGGAAGGAACAACAATGTCAGAAAGCCCCTGATGCAGGCCTGTGGCTCCTCATCCTCTCACAGAAATCCGGGATTTGGACGGCGACTGACAGGACGCAGATTCGCCGTCGACACCAAAGAACTGAACGGCCAGGGTGCCAGCACAGAGGGCCCTCTCGCCAAGGCTTTCAGGTAAAGACCAGCACGAGCTGACGTTGCAGCCCCGAAGCAGACGACAAGAAGAAACGCCCGATTTCTTAGCTGCAGTGAGGCTGCTCCCGCTCATTGCCGGAAAAGACCAGCAGCCGCCCGCGCCCGTCCCAGGAAAGCGTCCGCTGGAGTGAGAGCGCGGCGGGGTGCCCCGGCGCGATGAAAGAGCTCCCAACGCCGGTCGCGTGCTCGGGCGGTTGGAGGATTGCAGGCTTCCCTTCGGCAAGGGAACACCACCACCTGGATACCCTCCCCTCTGCTCCCCCGACCGATCCAGACAAAAATGATTTATTTACAGAGCATTTGTCCCAAATCGGCAAACCCCACAAACAAAAACCTCAGACCAGTTCTCTTAACCGTTACCTTGCATTGCTGAACGCCCCGGATCGGCGTAACACCCAGCACGGTCTCAGCGGCCGCAGCGACGCAGGAAGCCAAGGCAGGACTGGCTCTCCTGGTGGCTCTCGCGGAGTCGGTTACAGCAGGTGTGACACACCAGAGCCTCTCACTACTAAATCATCGCTGCACTAGCAAAACAGCCGAGCGCTTGCCCAGAAACAAAAGCAGTCACATCATAAACCAGAGGGTGACCTCAGCACAGGGATTGCGTTTCCTACGGAGGTTCAGATTTCATTACTTGCGGCTGGAAATTAAACTCTTACAATTAAAGTTACTCTAAACTTTCATAAGAAACATAAGAATTCCAGATTCCAATTTTGTCAGATATAATACACTTCTGAACCCTTTTTCCCCCCGCCAATGTCATGATGACAGAAAAGAAGAATGTACAAGCGAAACTCATAACAGAAAGTTAAATGCTAATAAACATCATTATTAATAAGCCTTTCCTAACAGGTCTCGGTGCTAACGAAGTCAGCAGCAGAACTCGCATCGATTTCCACTGGAAAGGACTAGTACAGAATGATCTACTTGGGGGTCCACTTAGTCAACGTTTTGGGACTGCCCCCTTCCCCTCTTAATCAGAGTTCCAGTTCTGCATCTTCTTCCAAAATTAAAACTCAAAACTATAAAGGATCTGAAAGCACAGATTTCACCATTCCTTAGTTGAGTCATTGTTCCACAGAGCATGAAGCATGATATAATCCGAGCACATGGTCTAACACCTTCACCAACCTGAAACGCGTTTGTGATTTTCCACACACAACTCTTCAGGGTCTCCAAAAACAACACATGCAAGACTTTTATACAGGCTCAGGGGGCCAGGCTTAATGTTCCTGTGACTTACATGACGTTTGCATAGGGTTGAGAAATACAAGAAATAAAACTTTTCTTGGCCGAGTTCCATGCAACACATTGTGTACTTTTTGCTATTAATGACTCCTTGGTAAGTACCACTATCACTCTACATATTCCAGAACACTCTGAATGAGATATTACAGCAATTTTCTTGGTATCAAAGTTTTCACTGAGTGTAAGATAGCTAGTGAAATACCTTAAGATTTCATTGCTGGCTTCTTTATGTAAAAATGCCCGCCCGTATGCTGAGAAAAGGGCAGGTGAAATGACCTAATTCTCATTCCAGTATATGAACTAAATATTAGCGTCCCTAAACAGAAAGTTTAGCTCCCTGTCTCCCTATTGCAGATAACACAAACATATGTGATGATCCAGTGCAAGATCGTAAGTGGAAGAGTGCTTAGTTTCCAGAGTTAACCAGACCTAAAATCCTGTACCTTTCATAGGATTACTGCGTCCTCCATTCCCTGCAAGATGTCACCAGCAAAAACATTATTTGCTCTTACAGCACCTGCAGGGCAGGGAGTTACTCTACCTCCCTCCTGGGACCTACACCCTGGAGGGTTTTGGCACAATGCATGCCTGGTGGAGCTAAAAATAGAACCAAAATCTGAGTCCTGTCCAGTGATTAAGCTGGAAAGCTTATTTCCTCTTCTGACATGGAGCATCTATCCCAATCCACCTGGAAACCACAAAGTCCACTGATGCACGTTATAGACCCACGTCCAAATGGATTCCACAGACCGAACTGCTTCTGAGAAACGGGAAAAGGAGAGGGAGAGACGGATGGACACACTCCTGCGCAGTTACTCTGCACTCCAGATCTTTTGTCCAAATAACACTGTGTCTTTGCTAGATACTCCTGGTAATTAAACTTGGAGCTTTAAAAATGAGCAAGTTGACTCATAAGAAGGCACTGGAATGCTGGAACCCCAAGAGTTATACCTCTGTTCAAACTGTGTTAGTTCTGAAGAGCAGAAAAGCCATTTTCTTCTTAAATGAGGGTAGTGGAATTCCAAGGTAAGGTCAAAAGCATGGCAAAAGTCAGTAGTTTAGGCCAGTACTTGGGATCGTGATTCTCAGAAGTAGTCTTTGTGCTCAAAGACAGTTCAGGATCTGCTTTTTTCGGTTCTTCACTATCCTAGCATCCTAGGCAACATCTAGGAATACCGCCCTCAGCTGCAGACCTCAAGGAGGAATTTTTTTGTCTTCAACCACGCTGAAGTCAGGCCTTTCAGTTCAACATTTTATATTATTACTATTTAACATCTTTTGAGCCTGAAAATCCAGAACATTTTTCCACAACAGTTCTAAGTTAATATATATGCTGTTTTAGTAGCAAACGGCATGATCTGCAGCCACTGACTGACCTACAACAGAAATTATCCAACTTCTAACACACTCACATGAGGGAAATCCTGTGGGCTTACATTATTCAAAAATAAGGTTGCTTTAGGGTTACAGGAACAACACACAGCCAGAACGGGCTTTAAACTGGGAAGATACAGTTTGCAAATAAACTGCCATTTGTTTTTACAATTCTCATTTTATATTAAGAAAAAAAAAAAAAAAAGATCCTCCCCAAAGACCTCAGGAGCCAGAGCTCAGCCTGGAAAGGATTTTTATGGTCACACTGTAAACCCACAGAGAGTAGGGGGTCTCAAACGGAAACAGTTCATTATAGCTAAAACACTGATCCTGGGTTCTGCCTGGAACCAGCTGGGATTATTTCTGCAGTTAAGCAAATTACTGTTACTAAAATCCACTCTGATATTCAAAGGCACATGTAGAAGATGCTGAATAATCACTCTTCTTCCCAGATAACAAACTAGGAGCTGTATTTGTTGAGGGGTTTCTGTGTGAGCACTTGAAAACTAGATAAACAAATTCAAAATATCAAGGCCATATTTACATTCCAGGGCAATAATTAAATATCTATAATCTTGTGGTTCCAATATTCTAGGTTTTTCTATGCACTAAGATATTTAGTCATGTAAAACATCTGTAGCAGCTGGAAGACATTCATTTGGCCTGCTAAGATTCATTAGTTTAAAAATACATAAATAAAGTGTTCATTTCCCTTCCAAAATGCTAACACTGCTCCTGTCAGTTCTGCTAGGGTGCTTGGTGAATAATGCTTATGCAATCTTCTCAGCAGGAGGTATCAGATATCATAGTTTCATAAATGCATACAAATATCTTAACTAACACAAGGCTTGTATTTAGGTTAATGCCCTTTTGTGAACTGGTACTGACTAACCTAAGTCATTCACAGCAATATGAAAACCAGCTTGCAAAGAGCTGAATCCTGTTTTTATTCTTTCTCCTGTCCTCCTGACCTCCCAGCACTCAGGAGACTGCTGAAACCTGCTTTTAAAATTTCCTGATGCACAGAAGTTTTTCTTCAGAACTGGGATTGAGATACCTGTGTTAAAGGATTACAAAACCAAAGCCTCCATGCATACCCCTCTTTTTTCTCCAAGAAGTTCCACATAATTTAATACAACTTTCTAAAATAATCAGAGTAAACACAGGGAACAGCTGAGACTGTAAAAAAGAGTCGAGCTTGGCTTAGTATCTGTAGGAAATCGCTTTTCTGGGGAACAGTTTGCAAAGGGTTATTTATTGGCTAGCCCTTTTTCTTTTGCTGGAAGATGCTGAGGTTTTAGTGAAGTTTCTGCAGAGTATGCAACAGTATTCAGCATTCACTCAGCTAATGAGTTAAATCGTTGCAGCTCTCCGATGACTTGAAGATTATGGGTGTAGAAAAAGGGAATGCTCGGCTAGGGGAATGTTCAGCAGCCACGACCAAACTGCGGTTAAAACAGACACCAATGATCCTATTCAGCTCCCAAACCTCAGACAGTTTCCATTTTCTCAATAACAAAGCATTTTTGTGGAGTGAGGTAACAGGCCTCCATCTGCCAGGTCTAACTCTCCACTAAGATTTCCTAAGAGTGTGGCTGAACGAGGGCTGGCCGGCTAAGCTGGAGACAGCGTGCAAAAGGCAGGCACCCTTTACGCCTGAGAAACAAAGGGACAAAGCTGTAGCAGGGCAGACTCGGAGAGGAGCCTTTTTCGGACAGTCACACAAATTCTGCTGGGAGTTTGTATCAAAAGCAGCCTCAAGTACCCT